GAGTTCTGTGTTCAGTGGCAGTAATCAACCACCTAGCTGATGGTGGCTTTGCTGCATAGTCTTACACTTAATGTACTTCGTGAAAGTCGAACTGGCGCATATACCGCACTAACTGCAGATACCCATAAAATAGAACATTACTGAGCTGAGGCACAAAATGGAGTCAATATAATAGCACATTTTTGACAATGATGGTGGTTTATGTCTGTAGTTAACTTGAGTGTAGGATCAGCAGGGGGCGTTACTTCGTGTTGTGTATAGCTGAACGCTCTGTAATAGTGTAAAGCAATAATAAAAAATATTTTTGAAGAGGAGAAGTGAGTGGGGAAACAACAGGAAATCCATGAGAACAAGGGACTCAGCGGGATTCAGTATGAAAGCATTTTACTACACACATTATGTGCATGAGTAACACATGTGCATACTTTGTAAGAAGCACGGAATCACATTTTGGTTTAATTCGAAGGGAATATTATATAGATGTACCCGTTTTCAGATCCTCTTAGATCTTAACTACTACTACTTCAATACTAGAACGACTCGAGCGACTTTTAAATTACATCTTTTAACTTTTCTCGCAACCTACGCCGCTTTACGTTTGCCAGGCGACAAGAAGCCCGTCGCCTTCCAACACGAACAGCAAATTTACTGTGGTGAAAACCGGAAGCCATGTTGTTGACTCGTGTTCGGTAAAAAGTACTCAGTCAATACGTCTTTCCACTTACAACTTGACTTAAATAATTTTTAGCTTAACATTTTAAAGCACAGTGGTAACTATATATACCAAATATTTTAACATTAATTAACTGTGCGTTTAAAGCACAGTGGTAACTATATATACCAAATATTTTAACATTAATTAACTGTGCGTTTTGCACACAGAGTCCTTCTCGAAGGTATCACCACCTTGTCGAAGGCAATCTGCCGGGTGAGGAGGCTTGCGTGCTCCAATGACCCTTAGGGCTATGCCGGCCTGAGCTTCGGCTCATGGTAGGGTCACCCAAGCCGGACAGGTCTAAGGAGATGCGCTAGACTAAGAGTGATACCCTGGTCCTCCAGGTTGGGGGTTGGGTGTAGGGCTAACAACCTTTCACCTTTAAAAAAAATATGTGTTACGAAAAAATCAACCAAGCCTCGGATCAGGACGGACTCTTTGGCACGACCACGGCAATTGAAAAAGGACATGAGATTTGGTACCTGGAACATTAGGAGCCTCTATAGGGCTGGGGCACTGAAATCAGTGGGTAGGGAATTAGGGAATTATAAGTTAGACTTAGTGGCAGTGCAGGAAGAGCGATGGGAGGGGGAGGGCCCGATCCCAGTGGACAATTTTACATTTTTCTATGGAAAGGGGAATGACAATCATCAGCTAGGGACGGGTTTTTTTGTTCATAGCAGAATTAGGGCAGCAGTTAAGAGAGTAGAATTTGTTAGTGACAGGTTGTCTTACGTAATTTTGGAAGGACGTTGGTGCGACATCATTGTCCTTAATGTTCATGCCCCAACTGAAGACAAAAGCGATGATATCAAGGATAGCTTTTATGAAGAATTGGAATCAGTATTTGATACATTTGGCAAGTATCACATGAAAATTCTGCTAGGAGATTTCAATGCAAAAATTGGGAGGGAGGATGTCTTCAAACCCACAATAGGCAGCGAGAGTCTCCATGCACTTAGTAATGATAATGGCGTCAGAGCAGTGACCTTCGCTACGTCAAAAGATTTAATTGTAAAAAGTACAAAATTTCCACACCGTGATGTTCATAAATACACTTGGACTTCCCCAGATGGCAGAACACACAATCAAATAGATCATGTTTTAGTAGATAAGAGAAGGCAGACAAATGTAATTGATGTGAGATCATTCAGAGGAGCAGATTGCGACACTGATCATTATCTGGTGGTAGCAAAAGTGAGGGAGCGGCTTTCAGTAAGTAGACGAACTAAACAAAATTTTGACACAGAAAGATTTGATTTGAAAAAATTAAGTGAGGGAGAGGCAAAGGAACAATATCAAGTTGAAATTTCGAATAGGTTTCAAATTTTAGAGACAAATGAGGATAATGAAAGTGTGGACATCAACAGGGAGTGGGAAAATGTCAGAAACTGCATCAAAATTTCAGCAAAAGAGAAACTAGGATACTACAGGAGAAAGCAAAATAAACCGTGGTTTGATGAAGAATGTTCAAAATTAATAGATCGAAGGAAGCAAACAAAATTTCAATGGTTGCAGAACCCAAACAAAACAAATGCGGATAATCTATGTAACGTGAGACGTGAGGCTAGTAGAACCTTTAGGACTAAGAAAAGGGAATACCTGAAGGGCAAAATTGCTGAACTTGAGACAAATAATAAGGAAAAAAACATCAGAGACCTGTACAGAGGCATTAATAACTTTAAGAAAGGATATCAACCCCAGACTAATTTGGTAAAGGATGATAGTGGCAATTTGCTTGCAGATCCAATAAAAATTGTGAATAGGTGGAAAAATTTCTTTAGCGAGCTCTTAAATGTTCATAATACTGGTGATATTAGACAGATTAAAATGCATACAGCTGAACTGTTGGTGCCAGAACCTAGCTTAGATGAAGTGGAACTAGCCATTGGGAAGTTGAAAAGTTATAAATCTCCAGGAATTGATCAGATTCCGGCCGAATTAATTAAAGCAGGTGGCAAAGGGTTGCATATGAGGATCCATAAGCTTATTCAGTTAATTTGGGATAAGGAAGAGATGCCACATCAATGGAAGGAATCCATAATTATTCCTATTTATAAGAAGGGGGACAAGACTGAGTGTGGTAATTACCGAGGAATATCGCTGCTATCAACCTCATACAAAATTCTATCCAACATTCTTTTGGCAAGATTAACCCCATATGCGAATGAAACTATTGGGGATCATCAGTGTGGGTTCAGACGAAACAGATCAACGATTGATCAGATCTTTTGCATTCGTCAGATACTAGAGAAAAAATGGGAGTTCGGTGGGACTGTACATCAGTTATTTATAGATTTCAAAAAAGCCTATGACTCTGTGAAGAGAGAAGTGCTATATAATATTCTTATTGAATTTGGTATACCAAAGAAGCTAGTGGGTCTAATAAAAATGTGCTTAAATGAAACCTGCAGCAAAATTCGAGTAGGTAAATATGTATCTGAGACATTCCTCATCAAGAACGGTCTAAAACAAGGAGATGCTTTGTCTCCCTTGCTCTTTAACTTTGCGCTAGAATACGCCATCAGGAAGGTCCAAGGTAGGCAGGAGGGTTTGCAATTGAACGGGACACATCAGCTATTGGCATATGCTGATGATGTTAATTTATTGGGGGACGATATAAATACAATAAAGAGGAACGCAGAAGTTTTACTAGAGGCTGGTAGACAAGTGGGGCTGGAAGTAAATTCAGAAAAAACTAAGTACATGTTAGTATCTCGTCATCAGAAGACAGGCGGGCAAAATTATCTTAGGGTAGCTAATAAATCCTTTGAAAGGGTTACAAAGTTCAAATATTTGGGAACAGCAATAACAAATCAAAATGATACTTGTGAGGAAGTTAGGAGGAGACTAAATTCCGGAAATGCTTGCTACTTCTCAGTTCAAAATATTTTGTCTTCCCGTCTGATTTCTAAGAACCTGAAAATTAAAGTATACAAAACAATAATCTTGCCTGTTGTTTTGTATGGGTGCGAAACATGGTCTCTCACTCAGAGGGAGGAACACAGATTGCAGGTGTTTGAGAATCGGGTGTTGAGGAGGATATTTGGGCCTAGGAGGGAAGACGATGGGGCGTGGAGAAAACTGTACAATGACGAGCTTAAAAATCTGTATTGCTCCCCCAGTATTGTGAGGGTGATTAAGTCGAGAAGAATGAGATGGGCTGGGCATGTAGCGCGCATGGATGGGACAAGAGGTGTGCACCGGGTACTGGTTGGGGAACCTGAAGGGAAGAGACCGCTGGGGGGACCTAGACGTAGATGGGAGGATAATCTCAGGCGGGATCTATGGGAGATAGGAGTTGAAGGAAACTGGATTTTGTTGGCCCAGGACAGGGTCCGGTGGAGGGCTTTGGTTAATTCGGTGATGAACCTTCGGGTTCGGTAAGCCATCTAGTTAGTTAGTTAGTTGTGTCAGTTCTGGTAAACAAGATGAAAATAAAAATTTTCAGCAAGCTTGCAGTAGATAATATCTTGTGATGTATATAATTACTAGTTGAATAATAAATTGTTCAGTGGAATAGAACAGAATGTATTTACATTCCACACATCCTTCACAGGTTTAACTAAGCTCTGTCATAGCACATATACAATAACTGTTTCTAACAGAAATATAAAATACATAGGTGTGATCAAGATTTATAATCTATTACAGCAAAAATAATTACACAGGAAAGCATCACCACTGCTGCTTATATTTATTTGTAATAGCTGAGGTCTCTGGATGTGAAACAATAACATTAGTGTAATCAGAAAAGTATTGGTTCAGACTGAGAGTTAATGGTTGTGGGCAGATCACTAATATATATGAGAAAATGCAGAAGACCAAGTATAGAACCTTGACAAACTCCAACATTTATAATGCCCCAATTAGAATAAGTGGTATTATTTAAATCTGGTGATTTTATTTCTACTTGTTGTCTTCAATTAATTTAATTAGTATTATTATTTAATTTAGGATATCATTTTTTTTTTCATTACACAGGATAATACAGCATCACAAAACTCTATGTAGACTTCCAAGTTGAACCCAGTGATCTAGATTGGCTTATTCAAATTGACCCAACTGAGTAGGAACCTCCCTCTTTTATACCTGAAGAAGGATGCAGATAGTTTCTGAAACGCTATGTTTGGAAAAGACTGAGATCCATGCAGACATCTTTTACGGCCATGGTAAAACGGTTTTACATGATACTATTTGGTGTAAGGTTTTAGTGAAATTTTGTATGCTTATCGACACCATCTTTTGCAACCCAAATGTAGGCACTACTTGAAAACTCCCTCACCTTAAATTTTCTTGCACCAATAAACCAAACTGCGATGGGTCGCTGCTAACATACGAAAATAATATGGCACACAACACATACTGCAAACTAGTATAAGCCATTAAACTTCATCTACACTTCACAATGATAGAACCTCCTTCATATCTATATTCATGTCAAACACAGTTCCACTGACGGGTTACCAGAAAGAGCAATATCTTCCACAACCTTTATAATCCCTCAAATGTAAAAATTATCGATGATAAATGCAGACCAAAATCGTCTTCTGCTACTGTTTATATAGTCTGAGCTCTTCACCAAAATTTAAAGTTACAAGGACACAGACTGTCAATCTACAATTTACACAGTGCACATGATGAAGCAGATGTCACTTTCCAGCAATGCCAACTTTCATATTTTCAAGGAAAAATATATGGATTGAGTAACGGATAGAATTTGTTGTATTTAAGCAGCTGGTTTGTATGTGATTTTCGATTATTATGAAATGAGTATAATAATAGGTTTTGAGCAATGAAATAATAAAATTATATTATTAATCCTTTTTTGATACGTTATGGGATTTGTCGAATATGGTTGGCTATACAATGAATAATAAGTAGTTTTGTCTATATATTGGAGATGTATAGTCACGGGTATTGTTTTGAATTACTGTGTAGCGAAACTTGTGGTACTTTCCTATAACATGAATTGGGAGAAATATGTTTCTAATCTAATTAGAATTTAAAATTTGAACGCTCCTGATAGGCCGTATTTATCTTCTAATTTAAAGGTTTATCAGTGGTTTGTGTAGTGTGGTGATGAAAATTAAAATTCATGGCTGTAGAAAGTATAAATCCTACGCCAGAAGATTTACAGAAGAAAGTTTATTTTCTACTGGAACAGTTACAGCTGATGGCTAGAGAATTGCCACCGTAAGACTCAGCTTCTTTTAAATTTGTTTGTGTTATTTTAGAATATTTTATTTCCTTAATTTATAGCACCGATACACTGTATTTTGTTTTAAGTGTTAGAATCTGTGAATTAAATATCTGCCTTATTAGGAGGTGGGAACGATAGGCACAGATTACACTGTAACTGACACCGATAAAGGTTTCTGTTTATTTACTGTGTTATATTTGTATTTGCACAATATGTAGCTTAATGTGTGAGAAGCACGTTGTACAGATTGCAATACTATTAGGAATGTGGTTTTCACTATCCCCTGTAAGAAAGAATTGTATTGGAAATTACCTTTTACCCTCCTTCTGTCAAAGAAAATGAAATGTAATTTCACCTAATCCAACCTGTTTACCAAGATATAATTACAAAATCTGGTTGAAAATAAGCTAAACAAAAACCGCATGAAGTTTGAACACTTAATCATCACATAATAGAGCATCATACAATGATGTCTAGTAACAGATCTTCATAAAATACTCGACTTTTGTACAGCAAGGCTTTGTGCAATGTAGAACAACAACAAATGCATGAAACAATAAGAAACCTTTGACTTAACTGGGATTTGATCCCATGATCACCTGTCATCAGGTCAGTATGCTACCACAGATCTAACTTGCATTGTCTTATGCTGTTATGGATTGTATTTATTGATTTATTGATTAGATAGTAATATGTACAGAAATAAAGTCAAGGTCATTTTCTGTCAAATAATTTAGTAGGCAAGAAAGAACTCTGTTTAAAATGTATGTTAATTAATTTAGTGATGGTAACAGTAATAACAGCTGAAGGCATGTAAACTGGATTGCAATTCAGTTCAGTTACTTTTATGAATAATAGGATAATTAGGTAGGAGTCCTGAATGAATCTTACTTTGAAAACACATGTTTTTATTTTTACATTGTCCATGATCTATTGCTATAACTATGGTAGCACTTTTGTAGTATATTTTTTATTTCACATAGGAGTATTTAAAATGTTAAGGTGCAGAAAACACTAGTTGAAGCTGTGTATTGCACTATGGATCATTCCTCTGGTCTTGTTTATAGTTAGCAAAGAACTGGATTTATAACTCGACACATTAACCCACACAAGTTGTTACAGCAGGTCATGATGATTCAGATACCAATGTAGTAAAGCCTGAAAAAATAAATTGCCTGTATATATTACAATGGCAAAATTTATAAAGATGTTAAAGTATTTTTCACAGGCATAAAATAATACATTATGATATGGTAAAAGAAATAACTTTAATGTACCTTATTTCTCTTATGTGCAGTCCAGCTTTCCATGTATTACACTAGCTTACCATATGATGTTATCACTGGAATCTCAAAACCTAAGTTAACCTCACAACCATGCAGTCTTATGTAACAATAAAAAACCCAACATTTACACAGTATATATAATAAAAGTTGTTGCTTTAATAATTGTTGTTACCCCTGGCGTTTAAGACTGAGCAGCAGCTCTGCAGTACAGGGGTTTAAATTCTCTATTCTCGTACAATAAAGTTGAAGAACCTGAACTTTGTACTTATTTTCAATATTTTACTGTATTTTGACATGAAAATTAATGGAATGGTTATTAGTACTGGTATTAAAGAGCTGTTAAATATTACTCATTTCTAATATTCTGATTTCCCTCTCAGAAAATACCAGCAACGAGTGCCATGTGAATTGCTATCTGGTTTAGCAAATGCTCTTTTAAATGACACAATATTTGAAATTGTGAAGGGTTTAATGGAAATTCAACATGTAACTGAAAAACACCTGTTCCAGCAAAGGTTGCAGTTAATCAATAAGCATTCAAGTGAGTACATTGTCAACTTGGTAATATGTCTAGAGTATACTAATTTTAAGCACAAAAACAGTAGCATATAGTATGTAAGCAATACTTATGAACATATTATTTAGTGTTCCCTGTGTTTATGTTTAGCCCAACCTCCTTACTAGCATCTAATCTGATTTTTTGTTATTGTTGTATATCCATTCATGTTTTATAACTTTCATCTGAACTACAACCCTGTTTTAGTGGAAATGCAAGACATGCTTGAAAATACGAGTGATTCTGTGGCTAGGCAGAAACAACGAATACTTCTCCAGCAGAAACATAAAGAAGAATTAAAACATACTGATATGAAATTAGTTCTTCAACTTGACCAAAAGGTAAGATCATTGTCCTTAACCCTACAAATGTGTAATGATTACAAAGGTATTGTACTGTTTGAGAATTTGATTTTAAGGTATATTGTAATGTGATAGTATCAATTCCACAAAAGATTTAAAGCATGAAGAGTGGAATCTTTCTTGGTTTTTCCAAGTTCTGCCAGCTGTTGTAAACTAAGCTATAATCATGTAGCATCAGTGTTTACAAAATACAATACTTATCCTCCATCATCCACAAATCCTCTTTGGGTAAAGACTGGAGAGCCACAGGTAGTTGTAACCACAATAGGGGCATAAAATCATGCTTGACAGGTTACAGTTTTGCTTGTAGGTCATAATTTCTGTTACAAATTTTGTAACTCAGATTAAGAAGAGTGGTTTGTATATTTTTGCATTTACTTTTTCCATCCCTAGTCCAAAATTCAGCCATTTTGTTTATTATGCTGAGTATTTTAGTGTGGATTTTAAGGATTTCTAATCATAACCTTTAACGTCTCTTTATTTGAGTAAGAGGTGGACACACAGATAGAAGCTTCAAATATTTGAAATACAGAGTTCTGTTGCATTAAAATTATCACTTTATGTTCAACATATCTTTCTTTACTTAGAGGAGATGGAGATTTAAATTTGTGAATTTCAAAACAGGATATATTCTTTCATATTGCCTGTGGAATTTTTGTGTTTTCTTGTGTAAATAATTTTTTTGATCTGACTTATTTTTGTTTGTGTGCAGGTTAGTGATCAACAAGTCACATTAGAAAAGGCAGGAGTTCCAGGATTTTTTGTAACAAACAACCCATTAGACGTAAAATTGCAGATGTATTTGCTGGACTTCATTCTTCGACTTAGTAAAAACCAAAAGTATGGGAAAGAAGAAAACTGAAATTTGGTATCTTGTTTTCAGTTTTGTGAAGCGTAACAAAGTATTACTGGTATGAAATGTGAAAGTTATATTTCATACACATCTGTAATTTATGGGTACTGTATAATTTAATTGAAAATTAATTTGGTAATTTATTGCAATGAAAGCTACCAATAAATCAGGTATAGTGTAGTGTGAACACAAAGATTCAAACTCTTGATAGTTACATAAATGCATGCTATTTGTTCATTATTCCAATTAGTATGAGGGATCTCACACTTATTAACATTATATAATAATTTATGCAGTATTATAATAAATTATGGCCTGAACAAATAAATGTCCGTTTTCTGTGTATCTGTAGAAAAAGAGTTATGAAAATTGCTAGATATAATAACTTACTTCTCCTTGAGCAGCTGATAATGACTCCTAGCTAGAAATTCCCCATCTTTTATGGAACCAAAAGGTTCAATGCAGTAATCCCAAGAGCCTGCTATCAGACCCTATCCTGAGCCAGATGAATCCAGTTCATGTTCTCACTTCCTACTTCCTTGGAAAAGATTAGTCCAGAAATTGTTTATCTACCATAAATACTTTTTGAATCTTGCTGTAGAACATGGGAACATTATAATGTGCTTTCATAGATTTACTGATAACTTAATAAATGCATTTATAGATTATTTAATGGCTTTATATCAGTTGTGAGATTATGTAGCATTGAGCAAGATAACAATTAGAAAGGACTGTGGAAGAAGATGTTATGGCCTATTTTAATGTATTACATGTAGGACTTCAGAAAACTGTGGGAATTATGTTAGACTGTAACCTGTTGAAGGTTTGATCTGCTGAACATAAGTCATGCGTCTTACAGGTTGATTTTCTGCTACTAATAAAATGGACACTGTTCATAACAAATAAGTCACTTATATCCATCCATATTGTTAGGATTATTGATGTTCCATAACGTAAAGCATTAATGCCTTAAATTCAGATATAAACAGATAAAGATGTTTTGAAAGAAGCATAATATAAAATAGACTAATAAATGTTTAGGCACACTAAACAGTGATGAGCACTCATGACTCCCCCCTCCCTGATAAGACTGTAAGGAGAGTATGTATTTTTTAGTCATCCAAGTGGGACATGACAAGTGTTACACATTGAGAGATTACTAGTTCACTTTTGAATAGTTCTTTCAGCTATTTTAAAAAACATGGAAAACCAAGATCAGTATCTCCACATACTAAGATTTCTGTGTTTTTGCAACAATAGAAACCAACTAGTCAAGACTGACAAAAACAGACCTTGGCAAATAAGATCCTTCTTTGATATGCTCATTGATAAGTATTTTTTAAAAATCCACATGAACATTTAGCTGCAGATGAAATCACTGTGCTGCTCAAAGGGAGAGTTGTTTTCAAGTAATATATTGCTAAGAAACAAATACTTTGGTGTGAAGATTACAAACTTAGCAACATGACCGACTGAACTTATGACATGAGTGTATATCAGGGAAATGACTGGCAAATATCAACACAGACAATGACAGCAACCCATGCAAAAGTGAAAAGTCTCATTAGGAGAGTGGAGGGGTTTGGCCATAAACTTCATATTCAGTATTTTTTCTCCTCTCCAAATTTATTTGATAACCTGCCCATAAGGGCTATCAATTGTTGTTTAACTGAACACAAAATCTTAAAAGAATGCTAAGAACGTTGACAATAAGATACTAAAATTTAAATGGGGTGACGTGCTGCAGTGATAAGTGCCTTACAGCAATGATTTGAAAAGAAAACAGATGTTTTTTTCTTCTATGGCTCTCCGGTCCGTATTCGGTCCATGGCCTCCTCAATTCTCCTCTTCCATTCGGTCCTCTGTTAGGTCCGTCTGTCCGAGGCTTTGATTGAGGTTCTGAAACATCTTCCTTTTTGCGGTGCAAGGTTGTTAGCCTTGCGACCAACCCCCAACCTGGAGGACCAGGGTACCTGTCTTAGTCTGACCTCTCCCCCTCGACCAATCTGGCTAGGGAGGCCCTACCAGTAGCTATGCTACCACCAGCATAGCTCTTGGGGTCACTGAGGTACTCAAACCCCACCACCACGACAAGGTGCAGGTACCATTAAGTGGGGCAACAGATGTTTGGATACTGAAAAATGTATGCAAGCCAACAGCAGAAGGCACATCAGTTGTGTTGACAAACAGGGCAGAAAAGCTAATAGCTATTCATTTAATTGGGAATCATGTTAGTGGACAAAGACATCATTTTTCATCTATTCAATCAAAGAATATTAAAAGTTTTAGTTACATCTTTATTACAGTCCAAGGATCAATAAGTTAGTCAGACTACAATAAGCTGTAGAATAAGTCATAATAATACAATACATATTACATAATTCATACTATTATACATTTCACATAATATGAACAAAGGGTTCATATAATGTAGTGTCATGTTAAAATAAATCTACTCCTTAACATGCTGTGATAGCCAAACAGACACAAAATTTCTTAAGACTTCATTTCAGTATATATTGTAAATTAATACAAGACAGCTTTAAGCTCAGTCCAGCCAAAGCTAATCAAATGAATCATCTTGAAGATTGACACACTAGACACTACTTGTGAGTGCCATGTAAGCTGAGTGAAGTAAAGAATGACTACAAAATTTCCAGGCTTCAAGTGCAAAGGTGACTTGTGTAGACCCATGTTTTTGTATTTTCCATTACAAACATATAAATGTCTAAATCAATCTTCTGTTACAGTGGAAGAACACTTACTAAAATATATGTATTGTACATTCTGATCTATATATTCTATATGTAATTACTTTAAGAATTCATCATCCATTTTGTAGAAAACAATACTGTACTATTAAAATATAAAATGAACCACTACATAATTGTGTATTCACTGGAGTAATCTAGCATAGATGTCTGATTGGTGTTTCTGTGTCTGTATTTTCTGATCTTTTGCAGCAAGTTTTGATTCTCATGATACAGTGAGTTTTATTGGATAAGCAGAAAGAAGGTGCTGGGTTGTAATGCAATGTATTCTTGTAGATTACCTATGATTCAGGGTTCCTTGCTGCCTCTCTGATGATGGAAGCAGCAAGGACCTCTGAAACACTGGTCAATTTCTACTAGACTAAATAGCACTACAACCCAGAAGTCAGCCATTTTCATACTCACTGCTGTGAAAACCTATCTGCAGTCTCTCAATAAATCCACCCCCGCACAATGTATGTTTGTCAGAGAGTACAGATTATGAAGAGATTATCTTTACTGCTACCCAAACAAAATGCTATATCGCTTGTGCTATTGAAACAACTTCACTTAAATTTAAATGACTGTAGTTATGCTGAATAAATTAGTGGAGTATGAAACTGCAGGATATTAATCAGCTGCTTTGATTTTCTGAATTAATACTGGTGCAAACAGCTTGAAAAATCACCACACCTAACCTAGCCATTAAATACTTGAACTGCAATATATTATAAAGTAGGATAATATTTTTAAATTCTACTTATATTATTACAGATGAGAAGGGCCAATCTTCAATGGCATACACTAAAATATAAATAAAAAAATACACATATATTGTTGCTTGTTGTTTGTACTGGTGTGTAAAATGTTTAAGTCTATCCTTACTTTAAGAACAGAACACTGATAGAAGGTATCAGATTAAGTTGCTGAGGAGTATATTTGGACCTTCTTCTTCATCTTATTCCAATGTGTCCACTCATTTATGGGTCACCATTCAAAGCTTCCTCCATCTCTTCAGTTCTTCCTCATCGACTTTACTCCAAATTGTTCCGAGTCCATCTTAGATGTAATGTTGGACCTGATCCTCCCACCAACCTAATGGTCTCCTACCCTTCAACTTCATTTCCCATGCCTTTTTCAGTATTCACTTATCATCCATTCTTTTCATGTGTCCATACCAATAGGCTCTTTTCGTTTCTAAATATTCTCTCAGTTCGTTCACTTTCAATTCCTTTCTTATTTTCTCATTTCTTATCCTATCTCTTGGTTTTGCCAACTATCCCACATAAAATATTTCATTTCTGTAGCTTGCAAATGATCTACATCTCTTTTTGTCCATTTCCAAGTTTCTGAATCATATAACAAGATTGGCAGATAATATGTTTTGTACAACAATAACACTGGTCAACACATAAAATGTTATGAAAACGAAACTAACCAATCTTGACTAATATTAGGCTGCTGAACATGAAAATCACATTAAAATTTGTCAATAGGCTTGTATTTTCGAATTACGATTGGGGTCTCATATTAGTGAGTTACTCTACATTATTATCAGTTATAGTATCACCATACTCTTAAAACGTGATCAGCTACAGTCACCCCGTTCTGCATTATGTGATAAGTTGTTGCCGCCTTAAATGCATCTTCAACTCTTGCAATATTCCTCGAATCCGGCCAGGTACTGGGTAATTTGTTTTCAATTAACAATTGTCTGTGAGATTCCTACTTCTTGCACAGTATTTGTGTCATGTAGGATTAATATGCCTCGTAATTATGTGAATAGTCCGGATAACTTCTGTTGCATATGTGGAGAAGTCACATTTGCTTCAAGAAAGTGTACGTTAACTAAGTCATAAAAAAGGCTTATAATTGTACTTTGGGTGTAAAGTAGGCGATCAGGACAAGAACTGGGCTCCACACACATGCTGCACTACCTGTTCATCAAAACTCAGCACATGGGTGAATCGTAAGGGATGTTCTGTGCCTTTAGCAGTGCCCATGGTATAGAGGGAGCCAACAAATCACATCACAGACTGTTACTTCACTCTGGTGCCTGACACATCTTCATTATGTGATGCATAATCCAGCTAAAATTCTCTTTACTAGTATATTAATTTTTTACCCTGAGTTTATATGATGTTAATTATTCTGGAGGACCAGTGCCTGCGCAAAATTAATTTGAAATACAGTAAAACCTCTCTAACTTGGACACTTGCGGTTCCACGATAATGCGTCCAACTTACAGAGGTGTCCAGGATAGAGGGAAAGGGGAAAATCATCCTTTCAAATTGTGGTGTAATGACAGTGTGGTAATTGTAGAGAAATTATTGATAAGAAAAAGCAAAAGGGTAAATTAAATTTTTACAAAGTAAATTAAATTAAATTAAACTTGCATGGATAAGCTCAAAGGGAAGGGCACCAATACTTTACGTTTACCGACAATGCAATCTATTTACTTACATAATCTAACTACTGTAGGCTTACTTGAATTAAGACTAATTTAATTATTAATTATAATAATATTTTGAAACCCACTCTCATGGTTGCACATTACACCCCAGCCTCAATGAAATTTTAAATATTCAGAATGTATTTTTTTAATTGTACTTAAGCTGTAGCTCAACATATGATGTCACTTATTTCTTGTAAAAAAGTTTGTCACAAAAAACTGCTTTTTTGCTTATATCTTGGAATTTGCCATCCTCTTTCTAATTTTCGCCGCAATCCGAATAAGGTTTCAACCATTCCTTGTTGGTTATGAGCGAAAGCATACCATTCTAATTTCTGTTAACACTGTTTAAATCAGTTGCAAGCATAGTACTGACAAAGTTAAAACTCCAGTGAGGGGTTTAACAAAAGAATAACTATTCACTTTCACTGCATTCCAATGATGTGTTCAATGTGTCTCACCCTCAGGTAGAATGCATTCATCAGTCAGAAATTCAAAACAACAAAATATTAACTGTAAACGTTTCCCATAAAAGCATTGAAACTAAGTGCATGCGTGCACCTGTCCAACTTACAACAAAAGGGGTGACCAAGTTCCAGGATAAAGGGGTGTCCAAGATATAGGGTGTTGTGGACATGTAAAATTATAGGATATTCGCCGGTTCCAATTAAAAGTGTCCAATATAGAGGGGTGTCCAGGATATAGGGGTGTCCAACTAGAGGGGTTTTACTCTGGAGGAAACAATGCTGTTCAAGGAATTTATATTACGTATCATGAAAATAATATAATTAAGATAGTCTGTCTACACAATAATTCTTTATTATAGTTTCAATGTTTATTAAGAATCCACTACATGTTGCAGGTGGTTCTCAGTAAGTGTTCAAAATTAACAGATATGACTGCTAATTTGTATACACATTTTCTGTTGCTGACTTCACTATGTAATGATTACCTATTTAAGTAGAGTGGATTATGCAGGGGTAGTTTCTGGTAGAAAGCTGTAGCTGAATTGAGTTCAGCTTCATAAGAATATCTCTGCTTCTTGGAGGTAGATAAATTTAAGGATAATGTATGACAAGGTTTGCAGTGTTTGGTACTGGCCAAATTAAATCTACCTGGTCATTCAGGTGTAGAAACATTACAAAATTTAATACAAATCCATTTGAATAAGTTCAGAGATGAAACAGACAGACAGAGAAACATACGGACAGACGAGTTAAACTACAGAGTTACATATTTGTAGTTTGAATGCGTCATGTTTGTGCTTAATTCAGTAATATATTATTTATTTCTGTCAGTACACAAACTTAGTTGTTAAAATTGGTGTTATTAAAGCTAAAACTTTAAAATTTGGCGCTTATCATTGCTATTACGATGTTACAATTTTAGCGCTCATTATTTTATTTCACAACATGTTTCAATGCAACCGCATCATCTTCAGGCTATTTTTGTCTTTAACAACTAAGTTTGTGTACTGACGGAAATAAATAATATATTACTACATCTACATAGTCCACTCTACTTAAATAGGTAAGCTGCTTAAGGCATTAGATGGACTGTAAACACACAACAGGATGGATCCCTTAAAAGAGGTAATAAGTTATTACTCTGTAAAAAAAAATGTTATGCACAGGACCATGTTTCCATTATAACTAAAGGTCTTACAAGGTCACTGCCACTTGTGTGTGTGCTATTGATACTAATTTTTTTGTTTGTCCCACTACATGCCATACAGGCGCTTGGGGCGAATGGAGGTATAGCTCCTCTCTTTCTTGATAGCTTTGTAACAGTAATTATTTTTATGCAGTAGTAGATTTGGATGAATGTGCAAGAGGTTCAGATGGTTACAATGACCATTCTAAATAACTTCCGAGATTGCTTTGACAGCAGGACACAATACTAGAATTCATGGGAACTTTTTTGAAGAAGCAATGATATAAGAATTATCTGTCTGTACAACTGCTTTTCAGTATCTTATTCTTATCAAAATGCCACTACGTGTTTCAGTCTTAACATTTTCTTCGGGTGGACCATGAGGTTATTATTAAACTGTTTGTGGCTTATGATTTACTAATATTTAAATTATGATTTATATAAAAATATGCAACATGCTGTACATTAGACCAATGTTTGAAATGAAACAGAGTAATTTTGAAAATATTGTCTTATCAAAGAGTGAAAGTACAATAAATAAACAGGTAACTAAGCTAAGCACACATTTATTAGCCCTAGTTGGATCCTTGAAGGATACTTTTTTATAGTAATTAAATTGTTTAATATTAATGCAATCCTGGGTGGATCTTGTTTTTGTTGTATCTGCATGGTGAAGCAATAATGGAGGCCAGTGTATCTTCATGTATAACATCAAAGGAATATGAGTTGTGTAATAGCGCAGTTAAGAATATTATGGGACATACAAAATTCTTCTGTCAGTTTCTACCAGATTACGCGGCAGAACATCCCAAAAGACAGTAAATTCATACTCATTGCAACGAGAACTTGAAATCTGACATTCATAATTACATTACGTAGGTTACTTTACATACTCTAATTGCAGGCCGTCACATGATCCTTCAGTTCTAGTGAATGGTGGGAAAACAACCCCTTTCAACTCTTCAAAATACATCAGTTGTTAAAAGTGAATTTGGAGGGACCACGCTCAAGTTAACAATTTTCTTCTTCAGTGGGTGAAATTTAACATTTCTTACTCCTCAATTTTTTAACCCCCCTCCTTCATGCAGCTTATTTGAAATTCACCAATGACAAAATTAATATATACCATGAAGATGTCTAGGGAGGCAGGAGCATAACACCTACCATTTCTTGACCTCAGAACTAGATGCAGGTGAGTGATCAGATTCACGCCCTCATCACTTCACTCCCAGGGTAAAGGCCTCTAGTAACAGTTGGATAGCAAAGTAGGTGGACCCAAGAGCTGGTCTGGATGCAGTGGCTATTGCCAATGACGGGAATTGAACCCCTGTCATCCACTCTGTAGTCAGTCACTATACTGACTGAGCTACACCAGACCTTAAACTTAAAGTTGTAAAAGTAAAAGCCATATAAATAATTGCACTTATCTCTATTGTACTACAAGTAGGATTTGAGGTTATGATGGTGGTGAGTACAATAATGGCTGTCATCTGGGCTGTAACATTATGTAGACTGGTAGAAGTTTACCATCACCCAGATGATGGAGGTAGGAAGGACCTCTGAAGTGCTGGCAAATTAAAATTGATCAAGAAACACTGTGTGAGGTTGTGGGCTGGATTAAACTGTTTCAGGGTGAAGCCCAGTCATTATCTTGTGAGAAATTCACCTTCAGGTCCAAAAAATGCAAGCGATTGACTAGTTGAGAGACTTTCCGCTTCTCAAGAAGGACTCTGGGTACCAGCACAATAAGACACATCTGGTTATTCTTCAGAGCTCCAAAACTTGCCTCTAATGTACATGCTGTGTGTTTTCTGCTTGGCTAGGTCAGGGGGAAGTGTAAATTAGAGTAATTAAGAATGGACTTCGGAGTATGCAATGGTTTGTTTTCTGCGTGATTCATGTCTTCTTCTTTTTCTTCTTCTATGGTTCTCTGGTCTGTATTTGGTCCATGGCCTCCTCAATTCAGCTCTTCCATTCGGTCCTATTGTTAGGTCCGTCTGTCCGAGGCTTTGATTGAGGTTTCGAAACATCTTCCTTTTTACGGTGCAAGGTTGTTAGCCTTGCGACCAACCCCCAACCTGGAGGACCAGGGTACCTGTCGTAGTCTGGCCTCTTCCCCTCGACCAATCTGGCTAGGGAGGCCCTACCAGTAGCTCTTGGGGTTACTGAGGTACTCAAGCCCCACCACCAGGACAAGGTGCAGGTACCATTAAGTGAGGCGTGATTCATGTATCATTCCATTATGTTTCACAATAAGAAAAGCACTGTAAACATTTCTTGAAAAAATATTTTTATTAATGTCCTTATAAAAACATATAAACTTCTAATAAATTACCAACATAATAATGTTCATGTTGTTCACATTCAAGCGCTGAACTCACTTTCAGCCGCATTAAAATTCTGTCTACTAAACTAAAGTTTGCTAAAATGTGGACTTTTATGAACATATTTTGTAGCAACTGTCTACACACTGGTGTCTCATGCTGTTTAAATATACAAAATACCAATTTATTAATTATGTTGATGAACTGAAAATGACAATATGAAATTAAATCTACATCCAAAGTGCAATTACAATAATTGTACAAAAATAAGAACAATGAATGTTTAAAAGACATAAGCCTATAAATGGAAATCTTGATCACCATGAATTATTATATGAAGGTTATATACAAATACAGATTGGACTAGGTATAATGCTGAAATAAATTACGTACTAATATGTAATATGTTATTTAATATGGAAGCATGGGCTGCATTATCTTTTCTGGTAAACTGAATGGCGTCAGACAGGGTACAGAGCATGGAATAATAAATATGAACCTGTTTCTGCAGTGGGTATAAAAGCTGCATTGATAAGTGCTTTGGATAGCGAGTCTCATTCCATTAGCCATTATACATACATGGCCACTTGTATGGTCAGTATTTTAAAATACAGCTGATTAACAAAATGAAATAAGACAGGAACATCTACAGTTTCAAGTCACGAATGAGATGGCATTAGGAGTTAAAAATACGTGATGGTAACTTTCAGTTCACCAAGTAATGTCATCAAAAGTGTGGGTTGAATTGTATCAGTAATTCAGACGTCTACTGCAAACGAGTCCTTTGCTTTCTGAGGATTAATGGCAACCATTTGGTAAGCGATGTGCAGGGAAGTCCCATCCATGCAAAAATATGTGAGTGGGGTGGACACCCGATTACAAACCGGTCCAAATAGAACTCAGATAATGAATATCAGTTAAAGAGAGATGCCTGTAGCAAAGGTAATTCTTTTAGGGTTCCTTCAGTAGAACACAATATGGTCAATTTTTTTGTAAAATTACAAGAATTAATTAAATTACACATGGCCATAAGTGTGTTTTTTATAATGTGCGAGATAAAATACCATTTTTGACAGTCGTTACATATTGTCTTTAAGTGAAAAGAAAATTGTTCTTGATGTGATGATACTGTGTTCTGCCATTGGTGGTGGATCAGATGCTGGAATATTTTGTAAAACCATAATCAGGGAAATGAAAATTACTGAATGTAGCTGTGTAACAACAGAGATACCTAACAGGCAAGTTTGGAATACGTTTAGTGGCTGCTAGAAGTACAGGTTTTAGTTCTTTCAATAGCGAAAGGGATATTTTTCAAACAATACTTAGAATGAGTGTCACGAACTCAGTTCGTGACAACGCGTCATTCAAAAGATGTATATAGAAATAAAAAGGACTATTAAATATAGGCGTATAACTCTATCAGAAATTCAGCTATCATTACTTCATTTCAAAAATAACTTTGCAAGAAACGATATTTAGTTAAATATATGAAGTGTCCATTAACAGTGTGCTTACTGAATATATTTGGAAATAAATAATACACCCGTTATTAAATTCGGGATCACTTATTTCTTGGACTATATCCATCGTCTGTGTTTTTAAAAAGAACACTACGTTTCGGAAGCTGGATCTGCTTCCGTCCTCAGGTTAAAAGTTGGATACGGAAACAGATCCAGCTTCCGAAACGTAGTGTTCTTAAAAACACAGACGATGGACAAAATCCTAAAATTTAGTGATCCCGATTGTAACACACCATCGTCAGTACCCTTCAAAATTGACCAGTATTACATTGCATGTGTGACACGGTTAGTCCCCATACGTAGTCTTCGGTTAGTAAGTGCGTTCGCTGTCATAGTTACACGCAAACTCTCACATCCCGGCTCCCTGCAGGAACTGCGTGGGTCACCGCCCAGCGCTAACAGCAACTGCAGCTGAAATTACCCATACACCATTGCAGCGAGCAGCTGTTTGTATAGTCGGCGCAGTAGTTTTTGGCCGGTGGAGAAGCTGGCGGACGGGCCTACTCTGTGTACCTGAGGTGGCACGGCCAGTGCATTTCTTTTGTTTGGGCGTTCAGTCCGAGACTCGCTCCTAGCCTTCCCCTTGAAAATTCCACCGGTCAAAAACTACTGCGCTGACTATACGATCGTTAAGGACTAACTGCTGGTGTGTGTGGTTTGATACACTGTTGAACAGAGTGTTTTTATGTGAGACGTGACTCTGCTAAAAAGGTTCGGAGAAAATTTTGTCGTTTATATCCCGGGATAGCATTTCGAAGCACGAAAGACATCCTTAAACTTATTAATAAAGTCAGGTCTGCTGGATCACTTCTGGACAAGAAACCTAACCTAACAAACGCCATATGCTTATTGAGAAAGAAACAAGACCAAGTAAATGCCAAGGGATAAAGGGTTTCAGCACTTTTCCACACTGCAGACAATTCTCTGACGACTCTGGAAAGTGTTTTGGCGACGGAACAATACGACCTGTTTATTGGCCAGTACATTCACCTGATTTTACTCCATACGACTTTTATTTATGCTTAAATTTGAAGAACAAGATTTGCAGAACAAATCTCCTTATGAAAGAAAGGCTGAAGGAAAATACATAAAGAAAAATTTGTAAGTTCCTCAGGAAGAACTTTGGGTGAATTTAAACCTACTTAAACACACAGCGAGTGTGTTAGCGTGCACAGGAACATAATTTTCAACATCTTCTACAACACAGGCAAGTTTATGTTTTTTTACTGATCGATATTTGACTCATATGGGAAAAATCTTGTAGCGGTGAGCCGTGCAGTTCCGGCCGGTGGTCGGGATATAACAGAAGCGTGTAACTCTGGCAAGAAGACTCACTATTACAGCCAAATCTTTATGGATGACATGGCCAATGCATGACTGCAATAAGCATTAAACGTATGGCGCTACTGAATTCTACCAGTTCAAATGTTTGACATTATCCTCCAGTTATATGCAATGTTATGTATTGTTGATTAATACGGACTTGCTATTAAAGAGAAGAGGTTGTTATGGTGAATTGTGTGATGTATAGATTATCTTATGATTTAAACATGGCGAAACCCTGGAACGAGCTATCCTATTTTTCTTTGGGATATCAATTTCACAGTTCCATTAAGTGTGTGAGTTATGTAAACTGTAGGTAGAATCTTACAGATTTACAGCTCATGCGTTTGCCCTCCCGCTCAAGAAAGTTTTGATTCTCATTGCACGCTTGGGTAATGTACATGTTACTGAAGATTATTTAGAGTATCGTAACTTGTATTATTCAGTCTTGGACGGTGCTTCCCTCTTCTTATGAACGGATGGTCCCTGCTTCGTGACGGTAGCGTGGAAACCAGTCTCCCAGTCAGCGACGTAGTCCACAATTCGCACACTGCCGTCGGGTTCGACTAGGCTGTACTGTCCCTTCACTACGTCACCGTCGCGTTTTTCCCACGCCCGCTTGATGTCGCCAGTGTGTGGGTCATTTACACCGTACTCATAGGCGTAGCGAGGGTGGTCTTTCTGAAAGAGAAAATCACAGGAGAAAACAAGACTTTCAGAGGCAGGAAGGCTGTGGCGCTAAAGGTGATTACGAGTTACAGTAATTTGTGAAGGAACAAGCTCAGAACTAGTCCCGGACCCGAACGTTATCTGTGCTCAGGCCTTTGCAGACTTTTAGGTGTCAGTACCTCAGACTCCTACACACGATCGGACACTTTATTGGTCCCACGGGTACAGCACAAAAGTAATAAACAACAAACTTCCAAATAACACAATATACAGAAACAAAAACTATTTTCTTTGTAGTGAGTTATGAACGTGCCTACAATAAATACGACAACGGCAGATGAAATTAAAATTCTTAGACGAGGAAAACTGTCAAAGTAAGATTAAAAATAAAATCTTCTGGGTTGTAACACCGTGCAGTCTGGTAAGACTGCCTCCATCATCAGGGCGCCCTCATCGCTCTGATGATGGAGATAGCAAGCATCTCTTGAAATGCCAGTAAACTTCTATCAGAACACAAGACGCTACAACCCAAAGGGCAGCCATCTTCATATTCGCCACCTTGAGAACATCAAATCTGCTGAATTATATATATTTTTTAATTTTATTGATGTCAGACTTATAGAAAACGGTGGATTGAAATACTTAGATGGAAACTATTTTAAAGTTCAGAAATCGTAAGTCACCAAGCACGTACAAGACAGGGTAATCCTTTTTCAGAGGCTGTCATGTTCGGAAGTCTAGCCACAAACCTGTCTTGACAGTGCTGTTAGATCGTCGGACACATGTCCAGTGAGGTTCAGTAAACACGTCTTATGTATGTTCTATCTGTCACTGATTGGTTTTCGGTTTATATAGCGATTCTTTATCGATTGTTATATCGAATGGTTGTGTGATATTGAATGACTTGGAAAATACGTGTAAGGAAGTTGATGTGGCCCCGTTTAAGGCTTTAAGAACTCTCAGGATGATATAAGCTGACAGAGGTGAGAAATACTTACAAAATATATCGAAAAATACAATGGGAAGACAATACTTTTATTTCCGTCGTTACACAAGCTTATTTTTCATTGCACTTCAATACCTTACGTTTTAAATTTAATAATTGATATATGCAATTTATTTGACAATTGTACAGTTTATATCTTAATTGCATCATGCTTGTGTTCCTCAATACAATACTTTTATTTCCGTCGTTACACAAGCTTATTTTTCATTGCACTTCAATACCTTACGTTTTAAATTTAATAATTGATATATGCAATCATGATGCAATTAAGATATAAACAATGGGAAGAGTTCGTTAGGAAACTCCTTGTTCAGATGACAGGACAACAACCTAACAGGATGAAAGTGCCTAAACTGGATTAATCTGGCTCTAACAATAAGGCTCTGTTGCGAGGACGGTAATGAATCTAATTTTTATTAAAGGCCAAATGAGCGACTATGAAATGTGACATCTTAAAAGTTCAATCAACTGGAACAGACAAATGTTAAATTATCACACAGGGTGTCCAAGAAAGATTTTTGCATTTATTCAATGAAACTCAACATTCCCTCTGAGTCTGAACCATGGGCAAAGATATTGCGATGTAATTTTGTGCGTGCGGGCTACACGGAGATCGATAACAAGGTTAGCATTCCGTTTTATAATGTGTAGTATATATATTTTTGGGACACCCTTCAGTTTTTATTAATTTGCCTCTGGAAAGCAGAAGATCCTCCATCGCGTGTGTTCTGCACCAGTACGCTCAGATTTTTCGAGAGTCTGATGAACCACTGCGCTAGATGAAGGTAACTGTCCGGCTTTACCCAAGGGGCAGAGCTCCATCGGAAGGTCCTGCGGGACAAATACTGACCAGTAGTTTCCAGTGTGTCTGTGTCTTGCCATCAGTCCTGTAACTTCATAAGCTGAGCTGTTACGCTTTAAACGGTTTCTATGCTATTAGGAAAAGTCCTTTGAAATTCCACACCTTTGCCCCCTTTTTTACTTTTTGTCTCCTTAACTCCTTTGGTCTCTATTTCTCACCCCTTTTAACTTAGAACAACAATAAAAAATATAGCCGTGCTGCGTACTACGTTTTCCTAACGTTTTCATCACTCATATCAGAAATTATCTAAAAGTTTCTTCATGTTAGCAGCACTTCTAAAACAGAAAATTCTGCCATCTATTGTAATTACTGAGAACATAAGAATACTATCGCTGAGGTCTCTTCATGCCAGGTTTTGCGAAATAAATTTTATATTTATTACATTTTCCCTTACTTAGATCATTCCAAAAAACCTGTACAAGTTCGAATTCTGTTGTAACATTTCTTAAAATGCTGACTCTCAGGTGAGGGGTATGACCCCAAAAGTGGGGAACCCCATTTTTGTTGACTTTCGGCTACTGCTTATTCAGAATATTTACAGCTGCTTGGAGGCTGTCTCCATCTGCGACCCAAGGACGCACCAACAAGAGAACCACTTGAAAAATAAGAGGTTATTTATCATAAAACGCTTTTAATCGATATCATTATTTATTTGCCTTGACAGTTAAATGCATTACGTTATGTCTTCTGCGTTTGAATCCTTTCCCGTACTGGAGCGTAGGAACGCGTTTCAATTGGCGCGTCTCAAGGCCAAGGCGTCACGTATAAATATGAACATCCGAAATACCTAGGAAAAGATGGTAGAAGGATGGACATAAGGAAAAGTGAGGAAAATAATAACCGAAGAAGAACGAGCAGGAAAGCAAAGACAAATACGTAAACCGGTCTGACAGATACAGTGAGTTTACCAGGCGCGGCGTTGTGTTGAGGATTAGAACTTTATCAAATCTAAAACTTCTTGACGATGGTGAAGAGTCAATTGAATAAAAATTTCTTGAATATTATCCATCGTCTAGTAAATATAAAACGTAAAACGACGTTTCGGAGATGGGACTCTATCTCCGGAGATAGGGATTAGCTCTATCTAGTGGGCCCAACTGTGTAGGAACCTGAAGACGGAGATAGAGTCCCATTTCCGAAACGTCGTTTTACGTTTTATATTTACTAGACGATGGATAATATCGTCTTAATACTTTAGAGTAACCTCAAATACAAAGTCAGACCTCAGTACATGATAATTGATAATCTTATCCCAAAGAACTGAAGTCACTTCATCACTTCGAGACTAAGACACTTCACTTCACATCACTTCCTTTATCTCCATCTAATCCCCACTTAATACCCCCTTTGCTTGTAATTCTTGTCCAAAACAAAGTTAGGCCCTCGTATTAGGAACCAGATATTTATTTTGATCTGTATCCTGGGGTCTCGGGTTCGATTCCCGGCGGTGCCGGAATTTATAACTTGTGTTGGGCAAGTCCGTGGTCTAGGCAACACGGAGTTTTCCTCCGTGGCATCCCAACAATTACTCATTACTCCATACACACAGAAGAAGGCAATGGCAAACCACTTCTGGATCATCTGCCAAGAACGTATATGAACAGGTCCCAGTCCGAGAAAAGGATGGAAGGATCCTGTTCATATGGACCTGTCGTCAGACGGAACACTGAATAAAAATAAAATAGTTGTCAAAACATAAGCGAAACAAAGAACAGGGCTTCGTGTAGACCTATTCTGCTATCTTTCACCCGTTTTCAAGAGTAGTCAAATTCATCAGGAAATTATTTCCAAGAGTAAGTAATTCGAAACGAAAAAAAAGAACGCATAATTCACGATATATAAACCATAGCCTATGTAGTTAAAATGTCGCACAGAATTATCATAACTTGGGGTTTTTCGTTGATTTACTGAGTCGCTCCAGGCAAATGCCGGGATAGTACTTTAAATTAGGCCACGAACGTTTCCTTCTACATTCTCACCAATTCATTGTAATCTTCTCACGCTATATAGTCTGAGGTACTGAAAAAGCGTAGTTAAACGAACTATAAATAAATAAATAAATACAACCTCCTGCGGTTCCACAGCACTGCTACAAAGGGTTGGCATGCGACAGAAATGTCCGGATTTGAGGTTATGGCGGCCGTGAGTACGAAGTTGGCGTCCTGATCGTGACTTAATCTCTGCACCGTTGTGCGTGATTATACGTAGTTTTATCGCGTTTTAAAAGGCATACTCTGTATTAATAATTTATATTAGTGAAACTAACAGATTCAAGTGTACGAGACGGGGCTGAAATTTAAATTGTCATAAACCATGACGGGAACCCCTCGAGGAAATCATAAATCCGTATTCTTTCGTGGTTGTTTTTGGTTCCCAGCACAGAAACGACTTTTCTTGTCTGTGTTGGAGAAAATATGTAAGCCGCTGTGTTGTATTAATTATTAGTTGTGTGTACTAGTTATTACCGATGCAATGAATCTGGCCACAGACAGAATAATGCTACTTTAAATATAGTTCTGATGTAATTATAAGAACAAATCTCTTAGCATGAGAAATGCGGGCGTGTGGCTGTCACGGATTTAGAAATTAAAGTTTTTGTTTTTTTTTGGCGCAGATTACCGGTCAAATTCTCGACAATTTATAGTCCGTGTGTTAACAGTTTCAAATTATTTATTTCTACTTGTTTGTTTCTCATTTATTTAATAATCCTCTCAATGTTTATGCATATATAAAGACGAACGATAGGATGACTAGTAAATAATGAATTGGAAAGGACGTGAAAGGAAGTGGTCGTGGCATATTTTAAGATTCTCTCCTAGAATTTGTCTGGAGACAATGAACCAGTCCGTGGACCTAGAGTTAATTCCGAGAACTTCGGAATACAAAAGAGGAGTGCTAACCATTCGCACGCGACGTTTATTAATTGTTTTGTTGAAACCACTAAAGAATGAAACGGAAATTTTATTTTTAAGATTAAGTGATTAAAATTAAGAAAAAAAAATCTGTCTGTTTCGTTAGGTTGACACTCCGTCTATGTAACAATTCTGGATTATAGTTTCAATGTCAGTTAAGAATCCACTATATGTTTCGACCTTAACTCGTCATCTTCAGGTAGTTATCTTTAAGTTTTAAAAACTAACAGAT